CGCCGTTTTTCGGGGATTTCGGATTTTCTTTGAATTTTTTCGCAATAATATTTGAAAAATAGACAACTTTTAACACATTTTAATGCAATAAAAATTTTTGGTCGGAGTCCCCCTTTAAGCTCAACTTTTTTCTGAAAATTACAGAATTTTTTGGCTGAAAAGCGAATTCTGAGCTGGAAATTGCTGAAAATATCTGAGAAATCCAAAATTAAAAATTCTAAACATCTGAAAATTTGGCGTTTAGAACAAGCCATACTAGAGAAAGGCTGAAAAAAATATTTGGCTGACATTCTGAAAACATACTTGTAACGTGCCGGGTCGGGCTTTTTTTCCGAATTTCGGAGGCCCGGCGGGCCTGTCACAAGTTTTGAAAATTTCAAAAAACACATAAGGGGGGACCCTTATGTGATTTTTTCGAGTTTTTAAAATATTTTTTGATCAAACAGACAAACAATTCAAAAAGCACAAAAAAATATAGAAAATTGTATTGAGAGCTCAAAATTCGGTTCAAAATGAAAAAAAATTTTTGCCACCGGGCCTTCCGGGCCGGGCCCCGGCCTTGAAATTTTTTTCAGGCCCGGCCCGTCCCCGAATTTTACAAGTATGCCGGAAAATCCCCGATTTTTTTTTCCAGCGAGGACAACACAGCGATCAACCATTTCGGCGAGCTGCTCACCAAAGCCGGCTACAACTACTACGGTAACGAGACGTTCTACTCGGGTGTCGATGGACGGCAAATGGAGGTACTGTAGTTTTTTTTGATTTGTTCGAATTTTTGAACTTCTGATTTAAAACATTTCTCTGAAATTCGCAATTTTTCAGATGCAAATCTTCTTCGGCATCGTCTACTATCAACGCCTTCGTCACATGATTGCTGACAAGTTCCAAGTGAGAGCCACCGGTCCAATCGATCCGATCACTCATCAACCGGTCAAAGGACGAAAGAAGGGTGGAGGTATTCGATTCGGAGAAATGGAACGAGACGCCATCATTGCTCACGGTACCTCGTTCGTTTTGCAGGTAATTTTTTTTTAATTTTAAAAACGACAAAATTTGGTTCCAGAAACTCCGAAAATGGTCAAAAATTTAAAAAAAAACTTATCCAAAAAGTTCAAAATCGCCAAAAATTCGTTCTAAAAATCTAAAAATCGCGAAAATGCCAAAAAATTGTCCAAAAACTATGAAAATAGTCTTAAATTTTGTGAAAAATTTCATTTTTAAATAGATTTAGACAAAATAAACTTGATGGCCTAGGAAACCCCATTTTTGGTTTTCTAGGCCACAACTTGACGTTTGATGGCCTAGAAATTGGCGACGTTTCAGAACTGCGACATTTTAGAACCGCGACTTTTTAGAACCGCGACGTTTTAGAACCGCGGCATTTCAGAACCGCGACATTTTAGAACCGCGACATTTCAGAGCCGCGACGTTTCAGAACTGCGACGCTTTAGAACCGCGACATTTCAGAACCGCGACATTTTTGAACCGCGATATTTCAGATCCGCGACATTTCAGAACTGCGACGTTTTAGAACCGCGACATTTCAGAACCACGACATTTCAGAGCCGCGACATTTCAGATCCGCGACATTTCAGAACCGTGACGTTTAAGAACCACCACATTTCAAAACTGTGACGTTTTAGAACCGAACCAAAGTTTTAAAAAAATCGGAATCTCAAAATTTGAGAACTTTATCGTTTTCGAATATTTGTAATTTCTGAATATCCGAAATTCTAAGTTACTGGATTTTTGCATTTTATGAGATTTGGACAAAAAAAAACTCCTCCTTTCAAAAAGCCTTCTTTTCCAGGATCGCCTGCTCAATTGCTCAGATCGTGACGTGGCGTACGCCTGTCGTCGTTGTGGCTCTCTGCTCTCCGTTCTAATGTCGAATAAGAAGCAATCGTTCGCCAACAAGCGAAGATTCCACGAGGAGAACGAAGATGCCCAACTGGACTACACAGAAACGCAACGATGCCGTACTTGTGATCGTGACGATCAAGTGTTTCTTCTGCAAGTGCCACGTGTGTTTCGTTTTTTGACTGCCGAATTGGCTGCGATGAATGTGAAGATCAAATTGGGTATTGAACATCCGGCCAAGATTACTGGAAGCTAAATTTCTGATCTATTTTCTTTTGTTGATTTGTTTTTTGTTACTTTTCGTTTTTTCGTTAAATTCCATCTTTTAAAATTTCTTAGATTCTCATTTTCAGACCCCTCCACCTCAATTCACCCATTTTCAATAACGCAATTGCGCTCTTTTGAACTTTTGGAGCGTTTTTACATTGTTATCCCTCTGTTTTTTGCACATTTTGAAAATCTGAAATTGTTGCAAGTGCGCTCCACTGGACTTTTCTCGTTAGAGCGAATTTTCGTATCTCAAAATAGCGCAACTGCGCTTTAATGCGAAATTTGGATCAGAGCAAATTTTCTGAGCTCGAAATTCTAAAAAAGTCCCTGAAATTCTAATGGAGCGCTTTTACCCAACTTTTCTGTTTATCGATTTTTTTTGTTATTCAGGCCCCGCCCCTCTTTTTTTTTGGAAATTGTTGTTATTTTTTCTCATTTTCTTCGGAGAACTTTGTTTTTTCTCGTTGTTTTTTTTCCTGGTTATTCATATGAATTTCTAGAAAAAATTAGATTTTTTTGAAAATTTTGGGATCCAAAAAAGCTTCAAAGAAATTTCTCCGAAATCAAAATTTACAAAATTTAGAAAAATTGTTTTTCGAATTTTCCAAAGAATCAACGTTTTCCGAACTTAACAAGATCAGAATCAACTAGTTGAAATTGAAGTTTGTAAATTTTCAAAAAAAAATATCAAGTGCCTGAAAATTGACATTCTGGAAGTCTCAAAGAAACCAAACCACTTGCGACATTTTCATTACCAATTTTATTCCAATAACATAATTAAAAAAGACAATGTAAAAAGACAATTAAAATAAATTGTGGTATGAAACTTACGAGATATATTTAGAAAAAGATGAATATTGAAGCATCTAGGTGTATAAACTGTTACTACGCTCGGCTGCGGCTGTCGTCTTTTGGGCGAAAGTTAAGGCTTTGCCGTCTTTTGAGCGGGTTTCGGGCACCTTTTGGGCGAAATTTGGTGGTAATCTCTGCTGGCAAACTGTTGATGAAAATATTACTTGATGTAATGTGTTTGAGTGTTTGTATTGAGTTTGAGTTTGAATGAATTGTTAAAGGGGGACTCCGACCAAAAATTTTTATTGCATTAAAATGTGTTAAAAGTTATCTATTTTTCAAATATTATTGCGAAAAAATTCAAAAAAAATCCGAAATCCCCGAAAAACGGCGTTGAAAAGGAAGAAAATTCAAAAAAAGGTGCCGCCGGGGGACGAGGATTTTCAGTGAGAAACCTAGGCCACGGCACCTGACAGCCTTTTTTTCAAGTCGCCGACAGTGGTTTTTTACGTTTTTTACCTGCCGGACATGAAATTGAAAAAAATCCGGAAAATTTGCCACGTAGGAAAGGCGCCAACACCTGCCAGATAATTTTATTCCAATAAGATAATAGCAAAATAGCGTTAAAAATAAAAAAGACAATTACAGTAAATCGGTACGAAAAAAAAGGTAGAGTTCAGAATAAGAGGATGAATCTTGAAACATCTATGTAAGTGGTAAAATGTATTGAAGTGTAGACTTTTGAATTTGTGAACAACTAAGACTACTTTTGAGCTTCTTCATCGTTCAGTTCTTGCTTTGGCTTGATCTCTGGCTTATCGATTTCATCAGCAAAGTTTGTTATGGCACCACTGGTCGTTGGCTCCTTTGTTTCGGTATCACTGTCTGTAAGCTCCTCTTTTTTAACATCCTTCATGATTAGCCCTTCTGGTTTGACATCTCTGTACGTTGGCTCCTCTTTTCCTTCCTCTTCGACCGGTGGTCCATCGTCTCCATCATTTTGATCCGCTGGCTCTTCGTTACCGTCGTTCTCAACCGCTGGCCGCTCATTTCCATTATTTTCGACTGCTGGTCTCTCGTTACCTTCATTTCCGACAGCTGGCTCTTCTGCCCTGCACATTGGTACAAAAATATTGAAGTCAAAATCAACCGTGCGACCTTTGAATTCCTCTCCCAAAGTGTCTGACATGGTGTTGATTGCAGCATGTACTTGGTCGGCGAGCTGAGCAAGTGTTTGACTATCATTTACTTTGTAGAATAGATATGGACTTGATTTTAGATCTGATTCCCACGGTATATCCATTATTATACCACGGAGAGCCTCTCGAATCACAGATAGTTCCTCATCACTATACTTTTCACTATCAGCTACATTGATGTATAGAAGTCGATTGGCCCGTAGCATTGGCAAATCAGGCTGAAAACATTTTATATATTCGGCGCTGGAAGAAATAAACTACTACAAATAAACTTCAAAATGATGATTATAAACTACTACACCTAGACGTGTTCCTACAATAGTGTCAAAATATAGTTGTTCAGAAAAAATGAAAAAATGACAAATTTTTAGAGTTATCACTGGTTAACAAATTGATCATATTTTTCCTAACTCATCATTTACCTCTTCTCTGTTCAACCTTAGGTTTTCCATTCCAGCCATAAGCCCCATTGGTATATCATTTTCAGCCGCTTGATCTACTGCTACAACATCCATCGGCATCGGTTCAAAAATTTGGAATCGAACATGCTCCTTAGGACTTGTGTAATCTTCTCCATCACGATGAAAATAGATTTGCATTTGGTCGCTTTGTATTTCGGCTGCAAGTTCAGCATACTCACGATCGTCTTTCTTATAGAATGTAAATGCCATTTGCGAATTTTCCGAATACCACTTCAATCCGTCTTTTACAAATTTAAAGATTTCTTCTCGAACATTTGTTCGTTTTTTTCCTTCTAATGGTCCAACAAGGTCAATGTATAGAATTCGATTAGCATCAGCCATGTTTAGTTTCTTTGGTGGATCCATCTGAAAGTATTTAATCAAAATCTCGCCTGGAAAATTTTCGAGTTCAGGAATTGCTAATTGTATGTAACTTTGAAATATATTTTTTCTAAACTCACTTTTGCGACGTAACAAATTTCGGTTCAAAACTGTGTCGAAAACTGATGAATGCGGTGGAGCGCTCGTTGTTAAATGTGGGGGTGAAAGCGGATGGAAATCGTTATCAGTTGGCCGAACCACCTGCTGACAAATTTTATTGCAACGTTATTTTTTTGCAAATTTTATTGCAACGTTTTTACATCATGTTTTTCGTTTTTTTGATATTGGTAATAACCTAATCCGGGCACTGGCATAGTTTCTCTCAGAGTCAATTATTTCTGACCAATTTGATATGATAGAACTCGACGAGTACTACAAAATTATACTATTTGATAAACTGTTTCTTGTCTATGAACAAAGTAACAGGCCAACAAGTGGTTTTTCCCGGACGGCCCGGGCCTGCTTTTTTTTCGTACTATTTTGTTTGTACCTTTGTTTATAGACAAGATACAGTTTATCAAATAATATCATTTTGTAGTACTCGTCGAGTACGATCACATCAAATTTAATTAGTTCAAAAATATTGACTCTGAGAGAAACTATGCTAGGGCCCGCGAAGGCCCGGAAAAGGTCAGGATTACAAGTATGATAATCACTGAAATCGATGAAATCTGAAGTTTTCCAATTGTGACGATCAAGTGTTTCTTCTTCAATTGAAGCGGTATTCGGAAAATTCGCAAATGGCATTTACATTCTATAAGAAAGACGATCGTGAGTATGCTGAACTTGCAGATGAAATACAAAGAGACCAAAGGCAACTCTATTTTCATCGTGATGGAGAAGATTACACAAGTCCTAAGGAGCATGTTCGATTCCAAATTTTTGAACCGATGCCGATGGATGTTGTAGCAGTAGATCAAGCGGCTGAAAATGATATACCAATGGAGCTTACGGCTGGAATGGAAAACCTAACGTTGAACGGAGAAGAGGTAAATGATAAACTAGGAAAAATATGATCAATTTGTTAATCAGTGATAACTCTAAAAATTTGTCATTTTTTCATTTTTTTCTGAACAACTATATTTTGACACTATTGTAGGAACACGTCTAGGTGTAGTAGTTTATAATCATCATTTTGAAGTTTATTTGTAGTAGTTTATTTCTTCCAGCGCCGAATATATAAAATGTTTTCAGTCTAATTTTCAACTGCTACGGGCCAATCGACTTCTATAAAAATCCTAATTTTCCAGAATTCTTACAATCTCAAAGCCACTGAACTACACAGAAACCCAAAGATGCCGTACCAAGTTGGCTGCGATGAATGTGAAGATCAAATTGGGTATTGAACATCCGGCCAAGATTACTGGAAGCTAAATTTCTGATCTATTTTCTTTTGTTGATTTGTTTTTTGTTACTTTTCGTTTTTTCGTTAAATTCCATCTTTTAAAATTTCTTAGATTCTCATTTTCAGACCCCTCCACCTCAATTCACCCATTTTCAATAATGCAATTGCGCTCCTTTGAAATTTGGAGCCCATTTGCCTTTGTTTTGCACATTTTCAAAATCTGAAATTCTTGAAAGCGCGCTCCACTGGATTTTCCTCGAAAGAGCGCGTTTTCGTACCTCAAAATTGTGTAAATGCGCTCTATTGCAAATTGTGCGTTAGAGCGAATTTTCATTCTTTGAAGTCCGGAAGAAGTTCCTCAAAAATCCAAATGGAGCGCATGTACATTGACCCAACTTTCCTGGTTATATTTTTTTCTTGGTGTTTAGGCTCCGCCCCTTTTTTTGAGAATTGCTATTATTTTTTTCTTTTCATTGTATTTTTCCTGGTTATTCATATAAAATTCTGGAAAAGTTTGATTTTTTTTCTGAATATCTAAGAATCCGAAAAAAAATACAGGATGTGCTATTTAGGATACAAATTTTTGAAAAATTGTGAATTATAAAATCCTGGAAAAATAGAGTTGAAAACATAGAAATTTTTCTAGATTTTTATTTTTCTGAAAATCTAAAAAATTGATTTTTTTAAAAATTTCTCTGAAAATCTAAAATTCCCAAAAAGTCTAAGAAATCACGTATTCATCGGAAATCACATTAGAGACCCCCTCCCTCTTTAACATTTCCCCCCTGCGCACTCTTTTCCTCTGCGTCTCTCCTTCTCCCACACTCTCTCACCATGTGTGCTCCTATAAGCCCCCTGTGGGCGCCCCATGGCTCCCCCCCCCAAACGTCCCGAATTTCCTTCTTTTTGCGCACCTTGTCTTTTTTGTTGTCTCTGCCTCTCTATCTCTCTCTCTCTCTCTCTCTCTCTCTCTCTCTCTCTCTCTCTCTCTCTCGCGTTTGATGACGTGGCAAAACCGAAAAGTAGCAGAAAAACCATTAAAGTTGTAGAGACGCAGAGAAAAAAACGCGTAATTTGAGATGATGGGAGAAGCCATAAAATCCCAATAGGCTAGAAAAAAAAGAATTTCGAAAATTTTTTTTTTTGAAAGAATGATTTTTGAGCTTTAAAATTTGCTGAACCCAATTTTTGGATTCCTTGGGACAAAAATTGCATCATGACCTAGAAATCCAAAATGTTTGGATTTCTAGGTCATCACTATTTCATAGGGGGTATTGCATCATTTAGGGCTTGGATGTGATGCAAATTTTGTTTTCTAGGAGATAGTTCTCTGAATTTTGGGTTTTTAGAAAAAATACAAAACTTTTGAATTTGGGATCTTCAAAATTTCAAGCAATTGAAATGCGCTCTTATGAGATTTTTGAAAAATTTTGCGAAATTTGCATTTTTCGAGAATATTCCCCAACTTCTCATGATTTATATTCACTCTAATAGTACTGTATTAGAAATTCAAAAATATCGCTTTTCCCCGTTTTACCAATCAAAATATTCCAATTTTCACTTTTTCCTCTTTTTAACTATCATACAAACGTTGAGCTCAATTATCTTGTTTCCTATAAGAGATATCAAAAAGTGGTCAACTGATACATTTTTTATCATATTATCAGCAACATTTTATCAGTTGACCACTTTTTAATATCTTTTACAGTAGCTGAGATAATCGAGTTGAAAAATCACTTTCTACAGTGCTCTACAAGCCACCCGTTACTTCTCGTTTAAGCGCAATTATCTCGGCTCCTATAACAGATTTCAAAAATTTGTCAACTAATAAAATATTGCTGATAATATGATATACATTTTATCAGCTTACCACTTTTTGATATCTTTTACAGGAAACAAGACAATTGAGCTTAAAGATCACTTACTATAGTGCTCTACAAGTCACCCGTTACTTCTCCTTTGAGCTCAATTATCTCGGCTCCTATGACAGATACTAAAATTTTATCAACTGATGAAATATTGCTTATAATATGATATACATTTTATCAGTTGACCGTATTTTGATATCTTTTATAGGAGCCGAGATAAACTGGCTCAAAGATAGGGTAGTTTTCTATCAGAGCTTTTACGGTAGCTCAAAGGAAAAAATTGAGCTATTTAATGTAAAAAAATATATTTGTTCCCACTTGATGTAAGTGTTCTACTCCCTCTCTCAACTTTTTCTCTTTCGCAATGCTTTTCCTTCTTCTTCTTTTTCCTAACAGCTTCAGCGATGACGTCATCGGGTTGACCCCCATCTGGCCGTCAGGGGAGGAATACTCTCCAGTATTTGCATCATTCCCCACTTTTTCTAGTTTTTGTGTTCCTAAGAATCTGGATTCTTAGGATTCTAAGGATTCTTGAATTTCAGTTTTTCAAACTTTTACAATTTTTTCATTGCCCTGCTCACCCTAATTCTAATAAGTCAGTAATCACAGCCACGTATCACCTGGAATTGGGTTTTTACGAATTTCCCAACAATATACGCCAGCAAAATCACTTATAGTCCCACCTTATTTCTCGGATATTCTCTGAATCTAGTCACCTCGAAAAATGAATAGATTTCTAGTGAACATGTTTGTCAAGTGTTGTGAAGATTATCCATGCTTTTGCAGGTTGCGAACATTGTTTTTACATTTTCGAATTTATGAATTTTGGTATTCCAGAATTTGAAAATTTCAGAATTCTACAAATTCAAAATCTTAGAATTCCTGTATTTTGCTATATTTGATTTTTCTAGAATTTCAGAAAATCTTTAAATATTGGGAACTTTGAATTTGTAGAATTTTAGAATTCGTAGTTCTTTCATTTTTCAACTTTCACATTCTGGAATTTTGGAATTCTGAAATTCTGAATTTCTGAACTTTTGAATTTCTGGATTTCTGGAGTTCTGAAGTTCTGAAATTCTGGAATTCTGGGATTCTGGAATTCTGAAATTCTGAATTTCTGGACTTTTGAATTTCTGAAATTCGGAACTTTGGAAATTCTGAAAATCTATAATTCTGACCTTCTGAATTTCTGAATTCTGAAATTCTGAAATTCTGAAATTTTAAAATTCTGAAATTCTAGAATTCTGAAATTCTGAATTCTGAAATTCTAGAGTTTGGACGAATGTCTGAAACTCTGGAATTTTGACTTTCTGAATTTCGGCAATTCTGAATTTTGGAATTCTGTATTTCTGAATTTCAATTTTCTTGCTAATTTCTTCTCTTTTCTATAATTTTCAGCATTTAAAAAAATTCAAAAAATCGAAATTTCCAGAAAAAAGCAAAACCAAAACTCGCTGGAGAAAGTGCACTCCACATCAGTATATCCATTATCATCCGGTGATTCAATGTCAGCAAGTGGAAAATGTAGTAAAATGCGACCACGATTTGAGATGCTCAAATCGATGAGCTATCAAAATTCCATCGATGTCACCAATAATGAAATGGTAGGCTTTTTTTATCTATCAAGAAATTCATTTAAAAAATTTTAAAAATCTAAAAATTGCATTTTTTGGAGTGTCCAAAAAACTAGGTCAACTTTGTTAGAACTTTTTGAAAATTTCAGAAAATACTAAACAAGACTAGAGCTCCATTTTTGTAGTTGACAACTTTTTGGTGCAAACGCGCTCTGATGAGATATGCAGCACGGAAGAGGCGTGGAGCCACCTCCCTCGGCGGAGGAGTGGTGCTGGCGGCAAACGCGGAGGCGCAGCGCACAGAAGACGCTCGTTTTTTCCACGTTCTCATCAGAGCACATTTGCATCAAAAAGTTGTCAACTACAAAAATGAAGCCCTATAATATTTTAGTACACTGTGAAAATTTGAATGAAATTGAAAAAGTTTGAAGTGCTTTTGTAGGCACCTAAACTTTTTAGTTTGTTTTTTTGGTCTTGCTGGATCTAAGTTTCTTCGAAATTTGAATTTTCAAATGATTTAAAAACCAATGTTTTGAGCAATCATAGAGGTTCATTTTTGTAGCTGATAACCTTTTGATGCGAACGCGCCCCAAGGAGATAGGCCACATGCAGTGGCCAAGGTGTGGTCGCGGCAAGGTTCCACGTGGTGTATCTAATCAGAGCGCATTTGAATCAAAACGTTGCCAACTACAAAGTTAAAGCTCTAGTTTTGTTCAGTATATTCTGAAATTTTCAGAGAAATCAAATAAGGTTGACCTATTTTTTGAGACATCCCAAAAACGCAGTCCACCAAATGTTCCTGAACTTTTTGCTCTTTTTTTTCATAGAACAGAAGCGTAGGCGCTTTTCAATCAGCAAATAAAACAAGTCAAATCACACAACTAATTTTTTTGTTTGAAAAAGGAATTTTCGTGCTCAGAGAGGCAGAGAGCTTCCGCCACGTTTGTATACTGTATATCTTGACATCATTCAGTTTTCTCTAACATAAGGACGACAAAATAAGAGGAATTGAAGGAAAAAAAAAACAAATAAGCACTTATTGTTTCCTTTAAAATGAGTAAGAAATGAGTCTATAAATTCCAAGAATTGTTAGCAATTTTCTGAAATTTCAGGATTTTTTCTTTCTAGAACTTTTTAATTGAAATTTTGGGCATGTTGAATGAATTTCCAAATTTCTGAATTTCTGAATTTCTGATTTTTTGAATTTCTGAATTTCTGATTTCCTGATTTTTTGAATTTCTTAATTTCCGAATTTCTGAATTTCTGAATTTCTGATTTCCTGATTTTTTGAATTTCTGAATTTACGAATTTCTGAATTTCTGAATTTCCAAATTTCTGAATTTCTGAATTTCTGATTTTTTGAATTTCTGAATTTCTGATTTTCTGATTTTTTGAATTTCTGAATTTCTGAATTTCCGAATTTCTGAATTTCTGAATTTCCAAATTTCTGAATTTCTGAGTTTCTGAATTTCTGAATTTCTGATTTTTTGAATTTCTGATTTTCTGATTTTTTGAATTTCCGAATTTCCGAATTTCCGATTTTCTGAATTTCTGAATTTCCAAATTTCTGAATTTTTGAATTTCTGAATTTCTGAATTTCTGAATTTCCAAATTTCTGAATTTCTGAATTTCTGAATCTCTGAATTTGTGATTTTTCGAATTTCTGAACTTCTGAATTTCTGAATTTCTGAATTTCTGATTTTCTGATTTTCTGATTTTCTGATTTTCTGAATTTCTGAATTTCTGATTTTCTGATTTTTTGAATTTCCGAATTTCCGAATTTCTGAATTTCTGAATTTCTGAATTTCTGAATTTCTGAATTTCTGATTTTTCGAATTTCTGAACTTCTGAATTTCTGAATTTCTGAATTTCTGAATTTAATATTTGAACTGCTTTCATTTTCAAAATTCCTTAAAAAATGTTATCAAAACTTCCGGTTTGAGATCCATTACCAGAGATGTCCGGATTCCGGATTCCGGATTTCGGAAAATTTTCATTTGTCCGGATTCCGGATTCCGAGAAAACTATTTTATTCCGTTTTCCTTTTTCAAAAACGTCATTCCGGACATATCTGCCTATTACTCATTTTTTGATACAAACCAATGATTTTTCCTTTTTTCATACTTTACCAAATCAAATGATCAGATGCTGATTATAGCGAATTTTCTGGTATTTCTGAAATTTTTAATTCAAAAAAATTTTTTTTTCGAAAAGTTGAACCTAACACAATTAAGGACCTTTTTTTCTTTTGAGTTTCGAAGTATAAACTTTTGCGATTCCCCAAAAAATCCATCATCGTTTCTCCCATTTTTAATATCAATCTGTTTTTATCTTTCTTCTTTTGTTGATAAGATAAAAATAGAAAGAAAAGAACAATCAAAGAACAGACGATTTCTAATTTTCAATTTTTAATATACAGTGAGCTTCAATTTAAAATTGTTTGAATTGATAAAAAAAAGTTGAATAAATATCACTTAAAAAAATTGTTTTTTTCCCAGAATCGAGTGATTTTTATCCCACTTTTTTAATGAAAAAAAAATCCGAAAATTTTATGACACTATTCAAGTAGTTTCCGTGTTTTCGAAAATTCAGAAATTCAGAAATTCAGAAATTCAGAAATTCGGAAATTCAGAAATTCAGAAATTCAGAAATTCGGAAATTCAGAAATTCTGAAATTCAAAAATTCAGAAATTCAGAAATTCAGAAATTCAGAAATTCAGAAATTCAGAAATTCAGTAATTCAGAAATTCAGAAATTCAGTAATTCAGAAATTGAAAAAAATTATTTTCAACAAAATTTTGTGACACTATTCAAGTAGTGTTTGTTCGTCGTAGACCACACACACACACCTACAAAATACTTTGTAGGGAAAAATAAATGTTTTTTCTTTTTTTCCGTCCTTTTCCACTAATTTGTGATTTGTCATCATCCCCTTGTTCCTCTTTAAAGTACCGTAACACCACTTTCCAATGTACCCTTTTTGGTTTCTCTCTAAACTTTTTTGTTCCGCAATACGGCGTACGTTATGGCGTTTGCAGACAAACCCCCTCAAACTTACTACTGTAGCCTGCTTCACTACTGTAGTTCTGCAAACATTGCACACCTATGTTAAATTCTTCATTTTTAAACGATGGTGTTTGCAGAGAAATCTATAGTAACCACAAACTACAAAAGCCTACGGTAGACTTCTAGAAACCCATTTTTATGCTAACTTTTTGTTGGAAAATTTAATTTGTTTATAAAAATTTTTTTTGCAATTCGAGACTTTTTTCACCCAAAAATTGAGTGTTCTATGGAACTTTTATGTGTGTTTTGTGATTTTTGCAGATTTTGCAAAAATCTTAAAAAATTCAATTTTTTGTTTGTTTTTTTTTCTGGAAAATTCCAGAAACCATAGAACTGAAATGTTTTTTAAACTGATAAGAAAAGAAATTTTCCTATTGTTCCGTCAAAAAAAGTTTCGAAGACAAAGAACAACAATGAAAAGATAGATAAGACGAAAATTCGAAAATCTGAAATTTTGAAATTCTTGAACTTCGATATTATAAGATTCTGAAAATTTGAGAGTCCAAGTTTATGAGATTCTAAGTTTTTGAAATTCTGAAAATCTAAGTTTCTTAGGTTCTGAAAATCCGAGAATCTGAAATTTTGAGATTCTGGAACTCTAGAGTTCTGATATTCTAGAATTCTGCATTTCCGGTTTCTGAAATGCTGAAATTCAGAACATCTGGAATTTGGAATTCTGAAATTTCTGGAAATGTGAATTTTTAAAATTTCCCATATTATTAGGTTTTTTTTTTGAAATTTTTGAATTCGGCATTTTACGGAAACTTCTAGAAATTTTCAAAGAATTTCAATTTTTTTCCGAAATTCTGAAGTTTAGAATTTTCTGCAATTCTGAAATTCTGAGCCTCTGAATAATTGACATTTCTAGAATTTCGAACTTTTCCAAGTTTCCCGAAATTTCTGAAATTGCGAATTTTTGAATGTCTCTTGTCTCTAAATAAAAAAAAAAATTTTAGGAAACTCAAATTTTTCGAAATTCGTAAAATTTCTTAAAACCCATGAAATTTCAAGTTTTGTATTTTTTTTTTGGAATTCCCAACATTTCTAAATTTTGAGATTCTGGAATTCTGAAATTTTGAGGCTCTGAAATACAGATATTCTGAAATCCTGAGATTCTTGGATTCCTAGGTTCTAAAATTCTTAGATTTTGGATGTTTCGAAAAAAAATGGTTCTTAGATTCTCAGATTTTTAGATTCTGAGTTTCTGAAATTTCAGGATTTTGACGTTCTGAGATTCTGAGAAATTCAAAAACCGTAAAAAGTTCCAAATTTTGTTAGTATGATCCCTATCTTCTTTTTGGATCAAATTTCACAAAATTGTTGTATCTCTCCCTCTTTTTGTACCTGGCACCATTCCATAAACATTTTGCGCCCAGCTCTAATTTCCGATGCTCGAAATCTAAGAATCTAAGAATCTAAGAATCTAAGAATCTAAGAATCTAAGAATCTAAGAATCTAAGAATCTAAGAATCTAAGAATCTAAGAATCTAAGAATCTAAGAATCTAAGAATCTAAGAGTCTAAGAATCTAAGAATCTAAGAATCTAAGAATCTAAGAATCTAAGAATCTAAGAATCTAAGAATCTAAGAATCTAAGAATCTAAGAATCTAAGAATCTAAGAATCTAAGAATCTAAGAATCCCCCAGCTTTTTGTACTTTGTCCTTATTATTCTAGTTCCTTCATTGTTTTGCTTATCTAATCTAGCGAATCAGAAGACGTTATGTCTTCTGAATTCTTATTCTTCCGATGACTGTACGAAACGTCATTTTCTCATACACACTGTGGTGTCTAGGAAAACTTGTCACGTTTCTGACTGTCTCGTCGTCTGGCGTCTCTCTATTTAGAGAAAATTATGATGACGTGATAAGAACACTGTATAGACCCCCAGAAGGATGACTATTTATAAAAGGCGGAAAATTCTTTTTTTCCGTTTTTGAGTGTTTTCTGGCTACACGTGACTTGTGTCCTATAAAGGTACAGCGAAGAACCTTGCAGCCGAAATTTTTTTTAAAGGCGCATGCTGTCGGAACAGTAGCAAATAGAATAATACTGTAGAACAGAAAACGAAAAAAAATTGAAAAAAATTGCAGTTCATTTTTCGAGCTCAAGTCAGCTGTTTCGATGATTCAAACCTGCAAAATTTTTTTCTTTTTGTAAAATTAATTTTGATCTACCACCCCGCGCTTTTCGCTCGCCGCGCTTATTGTTTTCTCCTCCACGTGCGCCGATGATCTCTCGATTCTTTGATGCCTAAGCCCCGCCCACTGTTCTCATGCTGCTGCCACTCTTTGATATGAAAAATTTTATGAATTTTTTAGTTTTTTTTTTCTCTCCGTTTCCTGTAAATCAGACCACCTGGTGGTTGGTCGAGAAGAAAACATGCAATAAAATTCCTGATTTTCCTGATTATATCAATTGAACTTCTTGATATAAAAGGGCTCGCCGCCTTCGTTTTTCTATCGGAAATTTCTTATTTTTTTCCAGAACTTTTTTTGCTTTGAAAATTTCGCTGCAAAATTCTGAAAAAAATTCAATACACATTTTTTTTTGTTTTTAATTCATTTTTCCACCTGTAAACTGCTGAAAAAACAGTGAAAATTATTCAAAATTCTGAATTTTTTCAGTTTTTTAATTAATTTTTCCTTTTTTCCCGGTTTTTTAGCTGAAAAACAGCGAAAATCTCCCAAAAAAAAGCTTTTTGCTGATTTTGAGTCCCGTCACGAAATTAAAGGCGCATCGCCTCAAAACTTTTCTTGCGTCTCGAAGCGAACTACAGTAACTTGTTTTTGAAAAATAAATTGCGTAAAAAAGCGAAAATTGCCTAAAATTCGATTTAAAACTATGAAAAATTTGAATTTTCACATTATTTTGACAGACTTTTACTTTTTGTGTTTGTTCTTACACTGAAAATCACTGGAAAACAGCAAAAATCCCAAAAAAAAAGCAGTGAAATTAAAGGCGCATGGCCTCAAAACTTTTCTCGCGTCTCGAAGCGAACTACAGTAACTAGTTGTTGTCCTCTTTTTCAACATTTTTTCACCTCATTCATCATCTTTTTCACTCGTTTTTTGACATTCTCAGTGGCAAAAATAGATAACAAAGCTGAAAAACTTGTTATTTTCAATATTTTTGACCTAAAAATGTCGAAAATCAGTACAAAAAGCCGTCGTTTCTTCCGTTTTTTTCGATTTTTAAGAAGAAAAAAAATTTTAGCAAAAAAGTCCCAAATGTCGTCTATCGTGTGTCACCCGATTATCAAAAACGGAATCGCGACGGACGCCCGTATCAAAAAGCAACGCCCACCGCCACTGGTGGTCGCCAGGCCTAGAGATTTGGTACAAAATTGAATTTACTAGAAAAATTGATTTTTAGGCCTAATTAGCCCAATTAAACGTTTTCTAATTGCAGATCCAAGAAGCATGCGAACGTCTGGTGCTCAGCGATCAGCAGTTGCGGCGAATTATGGTGCTCATGGAGAAAAGTATGGAGCAGGGGCTCTCCGGAAAGAAGGCGGCCGTTAAGATGCTGCCAACGTATGTGGATGCGGTGCCGAATGGGACAGAGGTAATTAGCGGAGTTAATTGGTCGAGTTAATTGGCCAATTAGGCGATTTTTCGCTCCTAGGGACATCCGGACACACCGACCCATGTATATAGCGAAAATGGCTTTTGAATAAAGCCATTTTTCGCTCCCATGGGCATCTGGACACACAGAGCTATGGATAGAGCAAAATTAGCGATTTTTTTTTTGCAGAAAGGCGACTTCCTTGCTCTGGATTTGGGCGGTACGAACTTCCGAGTGCTTCACATCAAGCTCGAGGGAAAAGAGACAAAAATGACGGGAAAGATTTTCCGCGTCCCCGAGAGCATCATGCGAGGAACTGGAGAAGCGGTAAGAGAGCGATTTAGAGCAATGTTAACCAGAAAAATTGGTTTTGGAGCAGTTTTTGAGCCTAGAGAACTCAAAATTAGAGATTTTTTAACCCCTCAAACGAACATCCGGACATCAGGATGCACAGAAAAAGTTGATTTTGAGCCATTTTTAGCTCAAAATCTGGAATTTTTGATGTTGGACAAACAGATGGACAGAAATTTGAGAAAAATTGATTTCTAGGCATTTCCAACCCCAGAAATGCGATTTTCAGCCTAATTTTGGTCTGTTTTCAGCTCTTCGACCACATTGCCGACTGTATGGCCAAATTCATGGAGGAGAACAATTTGAAGGACGCGACGAAGCTCCCGCTCGGCTTCACATTCTCATTCCCATGCGAACAGGACGGTTTGACGCGGTACGATGACTGGAATTGGCGCGAAATTTGGCTTAAAACGGCTGGAAATTGGTTGAAAACAGCTGAAATTTGACTGAAAACTGCCAAATTTTGACTGAAAATGGCCGAAATTTGACTGAAAATAGCTAAAATTCGACTGAAAATGGCCGAAATTTGACTGAAAATAGCTAAAATTTGAACTGAAAACTGTCAAATTTTGCCCAAAAAGACCTTAATTTTAGCGTTTTTGGATTTTTTCTCTGAAATTCTTTTCCAGATTTTGAAAGGGTTTTTTCCAGAAAAATCCAGCGAATTTTCGAAATTTTTGTGTTCTTTTTCTCACTTTGCACCTATTTTTTCAATTTTACACCGAAAAAATCTGAAAATTCTGTCGAAAAATCTCATTTCTCAGCACTAATTTCAGTCTCTGAAAACCTGAAACGGGCGGTGGTGTGCATTTTTGCGTGGGGGTGAACATTTGAAACCTGGCGGTGTTTGCACACTGCGCGTCAAATGTGATGCATTGGCGAGGCGAGCTGAAATTTAGGGTTTCTGAAGGCAAAAACGATGATTTTTTTATGTTTCCAGGGGAAAATCTGAAAAATAAATATTTAGAAAGCAAAGAAAATTAATGTTAATGAGATTTATGCAAAAAATAGGTCCAGAAAAATCGGAAATTTTTGAAAAAAAGTTTTTTTTAGAAAAAACGATTTTGGCGAATTTTTGAAGCTAAAAGTTCAATTTTCAGCGGAAAATTAGTGACCTGGACGAAGGGATTCAAGGCATCGGGTGTCGAAGGAGCCGACGTCGTCACCCTGCTGCGCGACGCGTGCCATCGCCGCAAAGACATTGACATTGACGTCGTGGCGCTTCTCAACGACACCGTCGGCACCCTGATGGCGTGCGCGTTCCAAGAGAATACGTGCCAGATCGGCGTCATCGTGGGCACAGGAACCAACGCGTGCTACATGGAACGTCTGGACAGAATCCCGAAGCTAGCCGGATACGTGGATGAGCACAATGTGACACCTGAGGAAATGATTATCAACACGGAGTGGGGAGCATTTGGAGATGACGGCGCGTTGAGCTTCCTGAGAACCAAATGGGACGACGCTGTGGACCGAGAGAGCATCAACCCCGGACAGCACCTCTATGAGAAGATGATTTCAGGAATGTACATGGGAGAATGCGCAAGAGTAGTTCTCGAGGATCTGGCGAAGCAGGGTCTTCTGTTTGGCGGACACTCTGACGCCATCTCGACGCCTCACTGCTTCCCAACAAAGTTTGTCTCGGAAATCGACAGTGATCTGTTGGAGGACGACGACAGAACGTTCCAGAAGACGTATCAGATTCTGGAGGACATTGGTGTCGAGATGATCACGGCCAATGATTGTGCCAACGTCGCCTACGTGTGTAGTTTGATCTCGACACGGGCCGCGCATCTCACCGCAGCCGGAATCGCAATGCTGCTCAATCGGATAAACAAGAAGCATGTGACGGTGGGGGTTGATGGATCGGTGTACAGATTCCATCCGACGTATCCGACACTGCTGGATGCGAAGATTGCCGAGTTGATTGTGGGGGATATTGAGGTAGGATTTTGAGGATTTTTGGAGAAACTAAGGGGGTGGGAGGCGTGGGGGGGGGGTGCCTTTGGGCTTTTTTGTAGAGAAAAATGGCACCTGGAATGAAGATTTTGGACATCCGGACACACAGAAAACGTCGATTTTTCTAAATTTTGAAGGCTTTCTAGTCTCTAAAAAATTGCGTTCTTTTTAAAAAAACCGAAAATCTGAAATTCGAAATTCCTGAAATCCCGAAAATTCGACAATTCTGAAATTCAAAATTGCTGAAATTCCGAAAATCTGCATTTCTGAAATTCAGAAGTTCCGAAATTCCAAGAATCCCAAAATTTTGAAAATCTGAAACAGGCCCAAATTTCCAAAAAATTTTTGCCTTGCAAAAATTCGGAAAATTTAAAATTGCAAAAATTCGAAAATCCAGAAATTCAAGAATTCTGAAAATTAGAAAAATTCAAACATTTAGAAATACTGAAATTTTGAAAATCTGAAATTCAAGAATTCAGAAACTCTGAAATTCAGAAATTCAAAAAAATCTGAAAATCTGTTTTTCAGAAAATTCAGAAAACCCGAAATTCCGAAAAACTGAAATTCGGGAGTTTAGAAATTCAAAAAAACTGAAATTCAGAAAACCTGAAATTCGAAAAATCTGGAATTCAGAAGTTCAGAAATTCCGAAATTCGAACATTCATAAAATCTGAAAATCTGGAATTCCAAAAATTCGGAAAATTTGAAAATTAGAAATTCTTAAACTTCAAAATCTAAAAATCTGAAATTTTGATATTCTGAAAATCAAAAGGTCTGAAATTCAGAAAATCTGAAATTCCTAAAAATCGAAAATGTTTAAAAATATCGATTTTTGCAGTACAAACTGATGCTCTCCGAGGATGGATCTGGCCGTGGAGCAGCTCTTGTCGCCGCCGTCGCCACACGTCTCAAGGAGGAGAAGCTCGCCGCCGCCGCCACCGCTTCTGAACGATAACTCATATTTCGCTATAAATTTCTTTTTTTTTAACTTTTTTTGAAATTTCCTACTGTCATTTTCACCCCAATCGAACGAGCTTTAGCGAACCACCCAATTAACTAGACTACGGGAAACACTTTTTTTTTCTTCTAACGCATCCCATTTTTTTTGAAAACTAACCCCAAAAATTCCACTAAAACTAACCCTCTTTCACCCCCAAAAAATCTATTGTCTGACTATCTTTTAAATTATTCTCCGTTTTTTTTGTATAACTAGCTCCCCTTCTTCTCTTTTTTCCCCATATAGAAATGCAGAAAACTAAACTGATTGAAATTTGTGTATAAAATACGAAATTTTCCCAACTTTTTTGATAAAAAATTATTGAGATTTTGTCGGAAAAAGATTGAAATTTGAGCCAAAAACCTTGAAATTTAGTGGAAATTTTTTTGGATTTTTTGGAAATTCAGAAATTCTAAAATTGAAGAATTCTAAAAAATCGAAAATTCGTATTACAAAAGTTTGGAAAATTGAAAAACTGAAAAAATTGAAATTTGTTTGAATTTCTGAATTTTTAAAAATTTCGGAATTCAAAAAAATTCAGAAAATCTGGAATTCTTAAATTCAGAATGCAACAGTAATCCTCCTCATTTTCCAATATTTTACTCTACAGTAATCAGAACCGTACAACATTGACATGATTTACCATAAACACTCTAGTCGAGCGCCACCCCCTAACTTTCAACTTGGAGCTCAATTTTCTCGTTTCCTGTGATAGATATCAAAAAGTGCTCAACTGATGAAATGTTTATCACAATATCACGAATATTTTATCAGTTTATCACTTTTCGGTATCATCCACAAAAGCTGAGATGATTGAGCTCAAAGTTGACGGCTAGGGAGCTCATTCTAATAGAGTGTTTACGGGGGCTTTCGTAGCTTCCCTTAGGACAACACCGTTCGCGGATTATCTTCCTAGGGTCCTTCGATTTGTGTGTATTTCCTCAGGAGAGGGGCTTCAAAGACATTAACTAATCCACCTCTAATTGTGGTCCTTTCCGGGGACAGGAGGAGAGGAGGTTCCTCTGTGGAGCATCTGTCCCTTTATAATATGTCCCTTGTCGTTTTATATCAACCGCATCGCTATGAAAATTTGCAACTTTTCGTATTATGTGCAAGAAGACAAAAGGAGCTAGATATGTCAGGCATTTTTGAGAAGATCGATGCAATAATGCTGAAATTTGAGGCACGTAGAAAATTGCTCAAGAAGCCTAAGCTCAATTATCTCTACTCCCGTTGGAGATAGCAAAAATTTGTCAACTTTGATAAAATGTTAAGCATAACATCATTCACATTTTATCAGTTCACATACTTTTGATATCTTGCATAGGAGCCGAGATAATTGAGCTTGAAGATCAAGCTAACTGATCAAAGTTCACATCACTTTCACACTTTTTTCTGTCATTGGAAACAATCCGCAAAACAAACATTCTGTAATTTTTGAGATTTCCTGTCATATGTATCTACGTTTCTCAGGAGGACGAGAAAAGTTGAACGTAGAGAACATTACACAAAAAAGAAGAAAAAGAAGAAGGACCTTGTGATTTCAACGAGTAGGTCAAAAGATCTCTTTCGCGACCAACAACAATCAGATGTTTGTGTTTTTGATGGTCCCGCCTCCACGTGTCAATCTCCGAGACCTTCAAATCTATTTAACACCCAATTTCAATTGAAAAGAGAAGTTTTTCGAAGAAATTTGAAAAAAAATTTTTTTTTGAAAAGAAGGATTTTGGAAAGAGAAGATTGGAGAAAAACAATGGTCGAGGTGAGTTTTCGATTTTTGAATTTTAGAATTTCTGAATTTCTGAATTTCTGAATTTCTGAATTTCTGAATTTCCGATTTTTTGAATTTCTGAATTTCTGAATTTCTGAATTTCTGAGTTTCTGAATTTCTGAATTTCTGAGTTTCTGAATTTCTGAATTTCTGAATTTCCGATTTTTTGAATTTCTGAATTTCTGAATTTCTGAATTTCGGAATTTCTGAATTTTAGAATTTTTTTTTAGAATTTCTGATATTCTGATATTCTGAATTTTTGAATTTCTGAATTTCTGAATTTCATGATTTTCTGAATTTCCGAGTTTCCTGGAATTTTAGAATTTTAAGAAATTTCTGAAATCTCTTTTTTCTTGAAATTTACCTTTTACCAGAATTTGGGAAATTTCTAGAAATTAACCTTTTTTAGTTCCGGGATTTTCTGGGATTTTCTAAAACCTTAAAAAATCAAAATTACCGATTTTTCTTATCCTAAAAAAAATTCTAAAACTTCAAAACTCTCAGATAATACACAGTATTATCTGAGAGTTTTGAAGTTTTAGAATTAAAAAAAAAATTCCATTGTATGTTATCGATTAACCGTAAACAGCCCGTGTGTATTAAAAAAAAAAACCTAAAAATAAAAATCTGTACTTTCTAACAAAAATACTTCCAGACCCAATCCATCAGTTCCGTTTCTGACAAGCTCTCCCAATGTCATCGCATTTTCAGCAGTCTTGATGTAGGTCAAAAATCTTGTTTTCAACGAAAAAAAAAATATTTTTGTTCCTCAAATACTGCACTTTCTTGTTTTTCCGGGTACCCCATTATTTGTTTTTCTTCTTAAAAATAGATTTTTCGGCCGGAAAGTGCAAAAAAACAGGTGGTGGCCTAGCTTTTCTAAAAACTCGGCCACCAGTTTTTTCTTCTTTTTTTCCTTGAATATAATTTTTTCAGTATACAAGAGACGTTGTCATTACTGGTGAGTATTTTTACAATTTCAAAATTTAACTCTTAAAAAAATTTTGAAATTTTTTTGAATTTTTAGGATTCGACACCCCATTTGAAGAATACGATGAAAATCCATCGGCAGTGGTGCTGGATGAGCTGTTGAAGGAACCTATTAAAAGTTAGACATTTAATTTATTTTTGAGATTTTTGAAAAATTCAAAAATGCTGAAAATCATTTTTCAGATGTCAAAATACATCCATTTAAAATTCCCGCGACGTATGAAGCTGTGGTTGAGAAGCTTCCAGAGCTTCGAGAGAACTGTCCGGATGTGAGCGTTGTTTTTTTGGGGAATTCTAGGAAATACTTAAACTCAGAACTTTGAAACATTCGGATAAATTTTAAACTCCTATCTGAAATTCTGAAATTATGAAATCCAGAGATTTGGAATTTCTGAATATCTGGATTTCTAAATTTGAGAATTTCAGAAGTTCGGAATTTCGGAATTTCTGCAACTTATGAAGTTATAAATTCAGAAATTCAGAAATTCAGAAATTCAGAAATTCAGAAATTCAGAAATTCAGAAATTCAGAAATTCAGAAATTCAGAAATTCAGAAATTCAGAAATTCAGAAATTCAGAAATTCAGAAATTCAGAAATTCAGAAATTCAGAAATTCAGAAATTCAGAAATTCAGAAATTCAGAAATTCAGAAATTCAGAAATTAAAAAGTTCAAAAATTCCAAAATTCAGAAATTCAGAAATTCAGAAATTGAGAAATTCAGAAATTCAGAAATTCAGAAACTCCAAAATTCAGAAATTCAGAAATTCAGAAATTCAGAAATTCCAAAATTCAGAAATTCAGAAATTCCAAAATTCAAAAATATTTGGTTTTACAGAAAATGAATTTAGAATTCGAGTTAGTGTGTTAAAAATCCGAGATTTTGCAAAAAAAGGAATGTACCGTAAAACCTGCAATATAAGGGCCCCCACACTGTCAACGTTATGACAATTGATTTCGGCTTCTGTGAAAGATATCAAAAATGTGTTAACTGATAAAATATTAGTGATATTATGATAAACAATTCAACAGTTGACCACTTTTTGATATCTTTCACAGGAATCAGGAAATATGGGCTCAAAGTTAGAAGGCCCTTCTTTTACAGCTTTTACCGTAAATTTTCATTTTTTAATAGCAATAATTTTTCAAAAATTTTTAAGGATGTAATTCATTTGGCGTCGCACAATATCAAAAATACAATCTACTTCCAACAAAAAGCATATTTCGATGGTTACTGTAGAGAGGATATGAATGGATATGTTCCCGAAGGAAATCGGATCGAGTTTTTAGAAGAAGATGAGGATTTGAAAAAATTGAAACCATTTGTGGATTTCGATTATTTAGTGGATGAAGTTACCGAAAAATGTGGACTAGATGGAAAACGATTCGGTGGGCTTAAAGTGGAAAAATCAAACGATCCGGGAAGGTAACAATATTTCGAAAACAATATTTCCTGAAAATCAAATTTTCAGATTTGTCGGAGGTTATCTATACTATCTCTCAATTCGTGAGGGCCCCGTCAACACCTTATTCATCCATGTGCCCCCGTTTGAGTAAGTGCAGACATCTGGACTTGAGGATACACAGAATAAAGAAATTTCAGAGGAGAATGCACAAAAGAAGCTGTCGCCGGCGTCATCCGCGAAGTGATTCGTTTTTTGACCAGAAATGATTTTTAGCAACTTGGAAGAACACTTTTTCAAAATGAAAACGATTTTAATATATATTTTGTATAAACTTCTATGAAAAAGTTGATTTTTTCTTGCTTCACACATTTCAGATTTATCTTGTCGAGTTTCTGAATAATCACGAAATGGGGTTCCAAACAATATGCACAGACACTTATTGAAATTTGAAGGCGAAAATAGATTCTTGAATCAAAACGAGTTGTCTCTCGTGATTCGAGAACCTTGTTGCTGCTTTAACCGCAAACTCCCAAATTCCATCGGTTCGGCCATTTCTAAAAACTCCTTCTCCGTTTTATCCCACACTCCAAAACTGAACCAAAAGTCCATATATCTCGACAGACGCCACAAAACCATCTGTTTGTCTGATAACATACGCAGGACTGCTTGTGAAATATCCATTCCCCCATTAATCATCTTCAGCGTATCTGCAGAATTCTATCTGGTCATCTCAGAGTGCACTCAAAAGAATGCTCCTGGAACCGATATACAGTGCGTGGCAGGTCTATACTGCCACTCATGTTTAATGTTATAACTTTTGAACCGTTAAAGGTATCAAACTAGTTTTTTGAAACGCGAATTTGGGACCACAAATTACATACAATTGACAATTTCTGTAACGATATCTTGAAAACTGTCCGAGTTATCTGAGAAAGTCTGGAAAAATGCCATTTGCAACCGTTGCAGATTTGTACGGCCACTTCAAAAATCGGTAGATCATGACCTCCAGGGAAGACGGAGGAGTCTGATTTTGATTATATATTCCTAACATCACTGATAAAACCTGTTTTATTTTGTGTGCTCTTTTTAAGTCACTTTGACATTATGCTCTTTTGCTGATTGATACTGAAAAAGCTTGAATAGGCGCGTTTAGATAATCTGGAAGGATTGAAAAAGTACCTCCTGGCCAACGTGTGTGGGATTTCCTCTCGCCGCGCTTTACTACGGTGAAATCAAGGAACCGTCTCCAGAAGACTTCAAAAATCAGAATTTCGAAAAAAGAAAAGTTCGAGCATCAACAAAGACACACTTCTGATCTATCTGTCAGGTTTCAGCTCAATCGGTTAACTTTGAAGGGGTGCAAAGGCACGCTACATACATGCGCACATACAGAATTTGGTGAATGTTACACTTTCTGATCTGGAACCTGGGAAAACCAGCAAAAAAGATTGCATCAGCAGGTGGTGTTATATGTATTCAAAGGTGATTCGCGAACAATCCCGTTACGGACGCTCCGCGTTCGCGCGCGGTTGAAATAGGAACCGCATACGGACCGTACGCGAACCGTTTTTAATAAATAGTTGTACATTATTCGGATTGATCCGTATCCTGTCCGTTCGCGAGCTCCGTATCCGATCCGATTGCGAATCATGACCAAACGGACAGGATACGGATCAATCCGAATAATGTACTGCTATTTACTGAAAACGGTTCGCGTGCGGTCCGTATGCGGTTCCTATTTCAAACGCGCGCGAACGCGAAGCGTCCGTAACGGACCCGTTCGCATTTTATCTGTGTTACAATTTCACGGTATATGGGCTCAAAGTTGAAAGCTAATTTTTTGATAACTTACATTTTGGGCACAATGTGTGTCGGTGGTTTCTTTCTTGGGTCGATTCGTTTCGCTCGAATCTCCTTTAGAATTCGGTTCCGTGAGAAACTACCTTCATTTATCACGATTTCCAAGTATTCCAGTTTTTGAAATTCTTCTCCTGATTTCCATTTATTCACAAACTCGATCAAGTCGGAAATTGGGCAAGTTTCGCAAGCTAATTCTGCCTGTCTTCCTTGAAAGTGACGTGAAATCGGCGGACAAATATTGCTCGACAACAAGGGATTCTGCCTGGTAGAATTTCGAGTCAGGAGAATTGTTCTTTCATTATTTTAGCGGCCACATCAACCCGTTGCAAAACAGGAGACGCGGAGAAAAATGTTTCAAGATGTTTCATATTCTCAAATTCTACGTCGAACTTCAACTTCTTGTGTACTGATAAGCGTTGAAGTGGAAGGCAAGGCATGTAGTCGTCTGATAGCCAATGGTAGGCTACATAATTTCCGAAAAAGTCGAGAAAATAATTATGCATTGATATGATCACAGAATCTCGTTCATTCGGTTGGAAAGATGCCAAAAGATAGTATTTATCATACCGCTTGCATATTCTGAAATATCGATAGTTGTTTGATTTTTCTTTATTTTATGAACATTTTTTTAAAACCAACTTAATTCCATAAAATAGCAGAACTCAAGAACTACCAAATGATACTATTTAGAATACTGTGTCTTGTCTGTGAACAAAGTTACAAGCCATAATGATGTGACCGTGTAGCTCCGATGGTTGTTGGCTTGTAACTTGTAGACATCATTTTGTAGTTCTTGATTTTTTTCTATCTTATCAGTTAATATGAAGAATTCGTCCTGAAAAAAAAACAACGGTATGACAATCACTCACCGAAAATATATCATCTTCCCAGATACATTCAACTGAAAGTAATCATTCAACGGTTCATGGTACCTGGCATATGTCATCAACAAGCTCCTTTTGTCTTCTTCCTGGGGAATCGAAACCCATCGTTGGTTCCAAATGATGTCGTATTTAATGAGGCTGATAGCATTGATGTTGACGAGTCCACGTGGCTATCCGCCGACTCGCCAACTTTAAGATATTCTGAGGACCTCTAGGCCCAGCCCACTGTGCTTACTCCTCAGAAATCTTCCTATTTCCCACTTTATTCTCTTTATTTTCCTTTGTTTATTAGCCTTTTTATTGCCTTCTCATATTCAAATTCCCTCGCCTTTTTCTCTCCCTTCGTGCAAGCGCGCCCTATCGTACGGGTCTCGCCACGAAGGGGCTAAAGGCGCACACACACTCGAAACGGGTTTACTGGCCTACTTTCTATTCAGATTAATTGTGTTTTTACGTTGTTTTTACTGCGTTTTGCTCATATTAATCATAGTATAGCAGTCAGTGCTGTTCCGTGACGTTTATCTCCAGTTTGCAAGTCAATCAACCTCTCTACTCATCATTATTCCTACCATTTCAATACTGTAAGCCCTACCGCGATCCCCGATCGCTTTACCGGCCTTATTGGACTACAAGTAGCCACTAATGGTGTGAGTTGATCTAGATTTCCTTCTGAATAGACTAACGGCCAGCTCTGTGACCTGTTTCATGAGTGTTTTCCTTTCAGTGCTCTCATCGTGACCACTGGGAAGCGTGTGCACCTTGGGAACTTTGTCTATGAGAGGCGATAAGCTTGTCACCGGTAGGAGAAGGGTTTTTGTTGCCCAAGGCTTTTTGCCCCTTCAACTATTGAGTGATCAGTGATGTCCTTCTCGTCCGTCTCCAAGCCAGCCCGACTCCGAGGAAACCTCTTATTGACGATATATTCTCTTTATTCAATATATACCGCTCAATAAATGGGTCACTGATACTACTGTTGTTATTATTGTTTCCACACCGCTTTTCAGCCCGCTCGTCGTCCCACTCCTCGCTACAGACAGAATTAGTTCCCCTGTTACCGATGCACTTTCCTCTAATTTGCCAGACATCACGCACAAAGAGGTAGCTTGTTTCTCTGGAGCCGTCACGGGGAATCCAACACTCCCCAAGGTGACCCCTCTACAATTGAGTCGTTCCTCTTGGGACGATTTAATTGCTTTTTTTCATTTTTTTGGAAACTAATGAAAGAATTAGCAGTTCAGAATCAAGTATATCCTTTTGGACATAATATGAAAACTTGAGGAGTTTCATAGCGAAGAGGTAGGAGTCTAGTTACGAGGAATAGAAGATCAATAAGAGAGAAAGGGGCATCTTATAAAGTGACAGATGGTCTACAGAGGAACCTCATTTCCTCCTACCCCCCAGGAAGGACCACCATTAAAGGTGGATTAGTTGGATAGGCACGTCTTCGAAACCCCTCTCCTATGAGAACACACAAATTGAATGACCCTAGGAAGATAATCCGCGAACGGTGTTTCCCTGCGACAGTCCCGTAAACACTCTGAAGTAATGAGCTTCTAAACCATAATCTTTGAGCTAATTAATCTCATTTCCTGCAAAAGATATCAAAAAGTGGTCAACTGACAAAATGTTAATCATGAATTAAAAAATATTTTATTAGTTGATGACTTTTAGTTATCTTCCACGGGAGCTGAGATAATTGAGTTCAAAGAGACATATAGCATTCACGGCTTTTAGTGCTGCTGCGGATCCTCAATTGCGATTTGAGCTGTATGGATGCCTTAAAATTTTTGGATCTTTCAAAATTTTTTTGGGACTTCTTCATATTTAAAAACTTAAAACTTCATTTCAAAAATTAAAAAAAAAACAAATTAACGATCTCTTTCGTAGTTTGTCCCTGACGTTCTGGACGTTCTGCACGCTTTTCCACGCTCCATTCAATCGTCTGCAATACAATGACCAACTTACTAAAAAGTAATAATTTGCTCAACACAAACCTTTCGACTTCATCCGCTGCATACTGACGCAGAGTTAGTCGATGTGCATCTTTGCAAAATTCAACGTTGCGCTCGATGCAGTCCCTCAATGACCAATCAACTATTCCAATGCCATTGATAAACTGTCAGGCCTAATCTGAAAACAAATATTCGATTGCTTTTTTAAAAAGTTGGTTACGAATGCTCACATTTCTCTGAAGTCGGGTTTCCTGCTCCTCGAATATTCTTGCCTTCTCTTCGCTGTCGTAGAGGTTCAAATGATGGCCCTCTACGATCATACGACAAAGATGGAAAGAGCTCAAAATCCCTCGATTTCGTCCTTATTGGGCAGTAACCTTAAAACAGAAAATGAATTACCGTAAAACCTGTGATAGAAGAACAACCTAACTTTCAACTTTGAGCCAATTTATCTCAGTTCCTGTGAAAGATATCCAAAAGTTGTCAACTGATAAATTGTTTATCATAATATCACAAACATTTTTTTTAAAAGACAAATTTTTGGTATCTTTCACAGAAAACGAGATATATAGGTCTAAATTGACAATGTGAAAGTCCGCTTTTGAATTTATGGTTTTCTTTCAAATATTTCGAAACTTTTCGAAAATTTCGGAATTTAAAACTTTTGATAGATTATGGAAGTACAACACTTTCAGTCATCCGAAATTCTAGACCTCTTTTGGAATTTCAAATCTTTTGGAAAACTTTGAAAATGGTAGAATTGTCGAAAGAGTAGCTTTCGATTCTACAGTATCTACAGTACTCTACAGGGTGGCTGAAAAGTATTGAGACACTTGTTTTTTGTTGTATTTTCAAAAATGGAGTTTCAACAAAAGAACCGGATTTATTTTTTCAACAAATGATAGTAATAGAAAAGATATCAGAGGAGATATTCGAAGTTTGAGCCTTCGGCCTTGATGCACGCCTTCAAACGAGCTGGAACAGAAGCGACGGTGCGCCGGAGGTAGTCATCGTCAAGATCATCCCATGCTTTGAGCAAAGCGGCCTTCAGTGAATCCACATTTGGGTGCGATCGAGCCATCACCTTTTCCTCCAAATATCCCCAAACGGAAAAGTCGAGTGGATTCAGATCGGGCGAGGAAGCGGGCCACATGTCCTTGCCCCAGTAGCCAGGGAAATGAGCGTCGAGAACAACTTTCGTGGATTTCGAGCCATGGGACGGGGCCCAATCTTGTTGAAGAATGAAGGGTTGCTGGCCAAAGTGGCTAGTGACCCACGGACGTAAAACAACCATCAACACCAACTTTTGGTTCATGCTGACCGCATCATTTCGTGTGATTCTCTTCTTGATGATGCCACGAGTCCGGGAGCTCTGGGATCCGGAGCTCTGGGATCCGAGAGGCGGGATCGGAGCTGGTCGAGATGAAATCGGAGCTGGTGGAGGTGGATTCGGAGCTGGTCCTAATGAACTCGTCTGCGTCTCTCTAATCCCTAATCTCTAACAAATCCTTGCTCCACGGAGCACCTTCATTTAGTATCTATAGTCACGGCCCGTTCCGTTCCAGACCTGCATATTTATTCTTATAATTTCTATGACCCAGTGTGTATGGGTCTAATATTCTTGTAAATTCCTGAATATCTATTTTATTTCATCTCGAACTTTACTGGGCAATTCGAACGAGGTGAATTGTGAAATTCCAAAAAACCACCAGGTTTTTCTTGTACTAGAAAAGCTAGTTGATGTTAAAAGGAATTACGATAGAGCGTAGTTACTCAATTTGCTCATTTTCAGATCTTGGAACACGAGCAGGGAACTTACTATGACTACTGTAGTTCGAGGAGCCAAGTGAGCTCAAAATATCTAAAATGCTCGCAATTTCAAATTTTTAAAGAAATCAAAACGCGGATTCGAAATTCAAAGATTGGTTGTGGAAACAAAGTTTCTTACCACAAAGATACTACCGTCTAAACCGTGCTGCATGGTACACATGAAGATCGTATCGTCTGAATCCTACCCGATGTATAGGAATTGTTTTTTATTCTTTATTATTTTTTATTCATTTTTTTCTTGTTGAAATAGCTCTTTGGACTCTTTGAAGCTAATTATTTCTTCATTTTTACATATCGATAATACTGTACTTGTTCAAGTTTCCATTTTTAATAAATGTAGTTTTTTTGCAATTTTCCTAGCCTTTTATGAGTTCGAAAAAATCCAAAAGTTTTGAAATACTTTTAGAATTTCTGAAACTTTCAGAACCTTAAAAGGAAAAACATTTTTCAGTCCCGGAAATTTTTCGCTCAGCCCTGAACGAAATTTTCCAACTCCCGGTTTCGATGCAAGTTTTGGAACTGATGTTGTGCAAAATAAGAAATGCGGAGAACGAAACAATAAAACTGAACAAAAAAGGTAAAGTTTTATCGATGAGATCGTCATAAACACAGTATTTTCGATCGCTTTCCTTCTCCGCGAAAGACACTTCAGTCTTCTTCCTGGCGCAGTGTGTATGTGCCTTTACTGATTTTTTTATAATTCTATGAATATTCCCTGGCATCTTTTAATGAATGATGCCTTTTATTTCTTATTTTTCTGAAAAATATTTCCTCCTATTTCTAAATTTGAACTACGGAAATGAACGTTTCATTTCAATAATGATCTTATCAATGGGGATGGTGATAAACTGTAAGTTCAATCCTTGCAGCAATCGATAGGCGAAAACTTCAATTTCAGGTGGAAGAGGTTGACTAGTCAGCTCGACTGCATCTGGCTCCAATCCGGACGATGAGGACGCTCCTGAAATGAAAGAAAAGCTCCAAATTTTTTCGATAATGGATTTTTCGATAATGGATTAGCGAAGATGCACCGAAAACATTTCTTCCAGATGACTTCATCTATTGAATGAAAAGGACAAGCCAATATGGGACATTTAATTTTCTGATTTTGTGATAATAAAGAACTGAGCATTCAATATTTTTTTGAATATATCAGGAAACATTCTCCATCTAATAATTATATTAAGACTAAATTTTGTGATAACACAGACGGATTCTGTTTTAGAAAAATGCATCAGTTGGACTTCCGTGCCTGTGAAAACACCACTATCCTAAACCTTTTTGAGTTATTCTAGTGAAAGCGCGAGACAGACAAACAGATACACACAGAGAAAATTCCACAGTAAAAAAGGTTATTTGAGGCAATAAATAGTAAAGGCGGACCCAAATATCACTAATCTTGCAATAACTCAACACTCCTTATAGCTCTCAGCGAGTTAGGAATGTTTGTAATTAAAACTTTTTCATCTTTTTCAGATTCCAGAACTTTGAAAACTCCTCGAAGTCCTCCATAACAATTTCATACAATTTATGTTACTTCTCATCGTTTTTCGTATTATTTTAAGGATTTTTTCAAATCCTCCGTCCTTGTGATTTCCTTAACACATCATTGAGAGAAATAGCATTTTGAAAAATCGACGAGAAAAATTAACATTAGAGCGCATTTACACTATAATACGCCAAACTGAAAAAAAGAGTTCTGCGTTCGGGGGGAATCGAACCCCCGTCGAATGCTTGGAAGGCATCCATGCTGACCATTACACCACGAACGCGGCATGAAGAAAAGACAGTTGGTATGCGTATAAGAAAGTGG